CCAAATAATGGAAAATGTACCCCTAGGAAAGCATAAATATATAAAAAGTTTTAAGCACACAGGAACTGGACCCAACTAAATAGCCAAAATTAGGGAAATGCTCTACAGAATCTAAAACATTAAAAATGTTCCTGAAGCATCTGTAATAACAAACATTTTTCCACATTAAGTAAAATTTTTTAAATATATAAAGTCTAACATATGGTAGAATCTCAACAAGGAATGAGAAAGGAAAAAGAAGAAAAAATGTAAGGAATAGCTGTCTTTAAAGAGTGAGACTCTGGATGATTTTTTTCCTATTTGATTTAAAAAAAATAACAGCTTGATTGAGACAATCTTTTTATTTGACTTTTTTAGTTTCTAAAATTTTTGTAATAAGCATGTAAATATTTTTATGATAATAAAAGCTTTAGAAAATAACTTCCAATATGAAATTGGCAGAGAAGCCTAGTGAAAAATCCAACTGGAAGCGACCTAAGATCTACTGAGCAGTTATTATGGGTCAAGAATTGCATTAACTGTTTTATAACATTCTATCACATTTAATCCTCAGTATAACACACTAACAGGTAATACTATAATGCAGAGAGAACCCGAGGAACTTCATACAGCCAACAAGAAGCAGGACCCAGATTTAAACTAAACAGTCTGATCTCAGGGCACCTGTGCTCATCCTCTAGCTACATGATCTCCCAGGTTACTTTCGGGTTCTGTGTTAGCATCTAATCTATTATTTCCAGACAATTATATTTGTATTTTATCTACTTATTTTTTATGTTGGTTGGTAGATTTTTTTTGCAGCAGCTTATTGAAAAATAATTCACAATACCATACAACTTACTCGTTTAAAGTGTACAACTTTTGCTTCTGAATGGTTATTGAACAGAGTTGTACAACCATTACCACAATTGATCTTAGAATCACACCAAAAATAAGTCCCTCACCCATTAGCAGTCACTCTCTATTTCCCCCCAACTTTCCCAGCTCTAGGCAACCACCAATCTACAACCTGTGGGTTTGCTTATTCTGGACATTTCATGTAAGTGAAATCATATAATATGTGTTCTTTTGTGTCTGGCTTCTTTCACTTAGCATAATGCTTTCAAAGTTCACCCATATGGTAGCATGTACCAGTACTCCATTTCTTTTTATGACTGAATAATATGCCATTGTATGGATATACTGCATTTTATTTTATTTTATTTATTTATTTATTTTTTGCGGTACGCGGGCCCTCTCACTGTTGTGGCCTCTCCCGTTGCCGAGCACAGGCTCCAGACGCGCAGGCTCAGCGGCCATGGCTTACGGGCCCAGCCGCTCTGCCGCATGTGGGATCTTCCCGGACTGGGGCACGAACCCGTGTCCCCTGCATCGGCAGGTGGACTCTCAACCACTGCGCCACCAGGGAAGCCCTACTGCATTTTATTTATCCATTCATTGGTTGATGGACATTTGGGTTGTTTCCAAATTTTGGCTACTGTGAGCCACGCTGCTACGAACATTTGTGTCCAAGTTTTTATGTAAACATATGTTTTCAATTCTCTTGGGTACATACCTTGGAGAGCAAGTGCTGGGTTATAAAGTAACTCTATGTTTATTTAGCCTTTTGAGGAACTGCCAGGATGTTTTCCAAAATGGCTGTACCGTTTTACATTCCTATCAGCAATAAGGGTTCCAATTTCTCCACATCCTTACTAACACTTGTTATCTGTCTTTTTAGTTTTAGCTATCCTAGTGGGTATGAAATAGTATCTCACTGGAATGTGTATGCATTTCCTTATTGACAAATAATGCTAAGTATCTTTTTCACATACTTACTGGCTATTTGTATATCTTCCTTGGAGAACTCTCTGTTTAGATCCTTTGCCCATTTTTAAATTGGGCTGTTTGTCTTTTCATTATTGAGTTGCAAGAGTTCTTTATATATTTTAGATACAAGTGCTTTATCAGATATATGATTTATATATTTTTTGCCTATTTTGTGGAATGTCTTTTCACTGTTTTGATGGTGTCCTTTGAAGCACAAAAGTTTTCAATTTTGATAAAGTGCAATTTATGTACTTTTTCTATTGTTGCTCGTGCTTTTGGTGTCATATCTAACAAACCATTGCCTAATCCTATGTCACATTTATGCCTATGTTTTCATCTAAGAGCTTTTAGTTTTAGCTCTTATATTTAGGCCTTTGACCATTTTGAGTTACTTTTGTACAGGATGTGAGGAAGGTAGATATATTTTTTAAATCATGTTTTAAAGGCTAGAATTGGCCTTATCTTTTACTCCTATGTCTCCATCATTCCCATCTCATCAACCATCAGCTAACAAAGTTTAAAAACTCAGACTCTGAAGTCAAAATGCCTAGATTAGAATCCCAGTTCTGTCTCATATGACCTTGAACAAGATACTTGATCTCTCTGGGCCTTAATTCCTTGCCTGTAAATTGGGGATAATAACAATCTCCACCTCAAAGATGAGGATTAAATGCTAATAATATATACAAAAGTAGAGTAGACTGCTTCCCATATTGTAAGCACTTAATAGACTTCAATTATTAATTATTAGTTTCTAAATATCACTCAGGTTTGTCCACTCTCTCCAGCTCCACAATTTCTACCTTACTTTAGTTCACCATCATTTCTTACGTGGATTATAAATCTATTCTCAAATGGTCTCCTGCCTCTAATCTTGTGTTCTTGCAAATTCATTCTCTACTCTGAACCCATAATGATCATGACAAAATGTGTATCTGATCACCTATCAACCCCCTGAATTGTAGAAAATAGTTCTCTGGTGCCTCAAGGACAAAGTCCAAATTTCTTAACAACTGAGACATGAAGACTTTCAGATCTGGCTACTATTTACCTCTCTAGCCTAATCTCTTACTACCACCCCTACCTGAAGCCATGATTTCTTATACGTCCAGAAAATTGGCTAAATTCTACTTATCCTTCAGGGACCACTTAGACACCATTTTCTCTAGAAGTCTTTCTAGATGGCTCATGGCCAGTCCAAGGATAAATATCCCTTCTATAGCACTCTGAACACTCCCTGATCAACACACTCAATACACTGTGTAAAAATTAACTGTTTACTTACATCTATTTGAGATTTGGTGGGGAGAAAGCCCCAATATTTCATTTATCACTGCATCCCCTTATGAGTACTACAGTACGAGTTATATGGCAACATTTAATAAATGTTATGTGGATGGAGGAATAGCCTCAAAGCATACGTATCTCAAATTGGTACTTTCTCCACAAGAGAGAGAACCCACTAAACAAAGCCACACCCATGACTTACTGAATGATATTTTCATGTTCACAGTCTCAAAGTTTCAATTAAATATGAATACTACTACCATAGCTATCATGATGCACACGTGCCTGATCTCTGATTGGCTATTAACACTAAAGCAAGTCAAGTAGTCAAAATGTTTGTTGTGTCAAGTGTACAAAAGTGAAGCTACATGAATTTATTTTTCAAGTTACTATATTTTCTACCCCTCACCTTCTCCACAGAGACATTTTAGAATTAGACAAAAATGAAGTTCATGCAAACTTCAATAATCTTTATGAAGCAAATTCAACTTGCAAGGGAAAAAACGAAGAAAATTTTGGATAATTTTATTGCTTTAATTGCTAATTTTAATGCAACTTTAAAAAAAATCACTTCAGAAAGTTATAAACTGCTAAAACCCATCACTTAATTCAATAAAACTCAATCTTAACCTCTATTCTACTTGGAGTAAAAATATGGATTGGAAATAAGCATTGGACTTATCTCGTAGAAACACATCTAAATTATTTATGGATGAATTAAAGAGAAAGTGGAAGGTTGGCAAATTCACCTGTAAAACCATGTGGGTCTGTAGCCTTTGAGAGTGAGCAGAATAACTAGTATTCCAACTTTGACAATTATTAATCTATTCAAACTTTTCATTTCTTGTTTTGTCAATTTTGCATTTTCTATTTCTCCAAATATAAATGCAGTTTGTTTAGGTTTTTAAATGCGTTAATGTATATTCGTATGTTATAACTAAAAATGCCTTATATATGGAAAAAAGCTATTGGAAACTACAATCAAACTATAAATTTGTGGAATCAAATTTGACCCATGGGGCTTCCCTGGTGGCACAGTGGTTGACAGTCCGCCTGCCGATGCAGGGGACACGGGTTCGTGTCCCGGTCTGGGATGATCCCACATGCCGCGGAGCGGCTGGGCCCGTGAGCCATGGCCGCTGAGCCTGTGCGTCCGGAGCCTGTGCTCCGCAACGGGAGAGGCCACAACAGTGAGAGGCCTGTGTACCCAAAAAAAAAAAAAAAAAAATTGACCCATGCATCAATATTTTAAGACACAATTAATTTAAAAAAATATGTACCTCTACCCATACCTTCTCTTGAAAACAATCCACATACACTTGACAATCATCAGAAGCTATCAACCTGTAAGTGGAGCTGGCAAACTATTTCTTGCTCTCTCCTTGCTAAGGGACCTCATCTAATTTCAATTCAGTTTAAGAGAAATGCTCTGTGAGTGAGCCATCAGGAGCATTTCATAGAGTTCAATTAAAGAATCAAAGCAGTTAAAGATTTTCCCTACTAAAAGACTTTATGCTCCAGGTATCATTACCATCCTCTCTCTTCACATGAGGAAACTGAGACTTAGAACAGGTTACTTATCCAGGGTCTGGTTCCACAGCCAATGATTATGTCTATTATTCTGCCTCCAATATACTAAACTGATAAAGACGAAAATATAGTAAACCAAACTATGTAACTAGCTATAATTCCTAGAAGTCATATCACAGATCACTAAAGGAAAATATCATTTTGTCAACTTAATATTCTGGGTTTTTTTTAAATGAAGGCTGTGATTCAGTATTTAATCACTGTTTCAAATATAGTTTTAGACATTTTTATCCTGAACAGTTACCTATGAAATAACATATCACCAGGAAAACAACAAATCCCTTGTCTGGATTTTATGGTATCTGTGCTCCTACCTGATACTGGTTAATAGCTGCATGGTTGCCATGGAATGGAGACTGTCTTTCTTTATCTCGATGATGCCGACTGCTGTGTTTACTTCTCTGCAACTGCTGGCGTAATTTTGCAATCTGAAAAAGGGAAAAATAACAAGTATGTCAGAGTGTTTTCCACATTACATAAAACATACCCATGCTTAATAAGAACTAGTAAAATTCAGCCTTAATAAATCTCTTGAGTTTTTAAACCATCCCACAAAAATCTGATTTATTGTAAAAAATTTATATATATATATCTATATACACATATAGATATACACACACACATCTGTATATGCATAAATGTATATCTTTCTTTCAAAGAAAAAATTATGTTCCAACACTATTCTGAGCCTTTAAGCTTCCCAAGTACTAAACAAATGAAATTTTTAGCATTTAGAATAAATTATATTATACATTATAGCTTTCACAAAGAATTCAAAAATAATGATAAATATTCTCTCATTTTACTTACGAGTCACATTTTATTTATAATTAGATTTCTTTAACAAATACCTAACCTTCAACAGCTCCAAAAAGTAAACAGTATTATTTAAAAACCAACTCAAGCTCCCCAGGCTCTGGGAGGTTCCTGGAGATGTACTGTCCACTGAGCATAATAAAATTATGAATAAACATAATAAACATCAGCTCTGTTAAAAAAAATCAACTCAAGCCATGAAATGCATTCAGATACAATCTGTAAATAACAAATACAATTTCAATCAATATCCTATTTATTCTTTGACTGAATTTTTCTGTTTTATTGCTACATTATGTATAAAATGCAAATGTCCTAATTATAGGCACAAAAATGTTAATCATAGCATAGGGCCATAATCAACTTGGTTATACTGGGTTACTGAAATTCAGAAATACTACCACTGTATATAGAAATAGTAAGTGTGAATTTGTTGTATCACTACAATCTTATACATTTGATATTTATATTAACAGCTATGGACTCTCATTAGAAATAAAGAAAAACATATAATCAAGTAACTTATGCATATATTTCCCCATTCAAATCTTTATTCAACATAACTGTTTTTCTGTTATTTCTCAAGTAAACAAAACCACCAAAAAAAAACAAAAAAAAAATTAAAAAACAATGGAAACTGACAAATCTTTGCTGCTCACAACTTCAAGGAACTAGTCAACGAAGGGATCAAATTTCCACACCCACTTCCTTGGAACCATTTCTCTGACCTCCTTAAGTTGATCTGTGCTGCCCCACGACGCTGAACGCTTGTGAGACCCTTTCTTCTTTTCGGAGTACTCTTCAGCCCATGCACTCTCTGTCTATAATGGGAAAAAGAAGGAAGAGGTTTTAATAAAATAATTAATCATTTAACAATAATGAATGCCACATTTGCGACAACACAGACGGACCTTGAGGGTATTATGCTAAATGAAGTCAGACAGAGAAAGACAAATACCATATGATCTCACATGTGGAATCTAAAAAGACAAACAAACAAACAAACTCATAGAAAAAGAAATCAGATTTGTGGTTACCAGAGCTGGGGGTCAGCAGAGGGGGAATAGGATGAAAGTGGTCAAAAGGTACAAACTTCCGCTGAAAGATAAATAAGTACTGGGGATGTAATGTACAACCCAATGGCTATAGTTAACACTTGCTGTATCGTACATCTGAAAGTAGCTAAGAGAGTAGATCCTAAAAGTTCTCATCACAAGAAAAAAGAAAAGTTTTTTGGTAACTCTATGAGGTGATGGATGTTAACTAAGCTTACTGTGGTGATCATTTTGCAATATATGTATGTCAAGTCATTATGCTGCAAACCTGAGAACATTTTCCCTTTCTAAAAAAAAAGGTATACCATACATTCCTATTACAGAAAAATTAGATATTAGAAAATATTTTAAATAACACAAATTACCCATAATTTTTAGTATCAGTTACTTAATTGCAATATTTTAGCCTATTTCTTTCAATTCTCTAATAAAAATTAGTTGTTGTTGGTTTTTTTTTTTTGCTGTAGGCAGGCCTCTCACTGCTGTGGCCTCTCCCGTTGCGGCGCACAGGCTCCGGACACGCAGGTTCAGCGGCCATGGCTCACGGGCCCAGCCGCTCCGCGGCATGTGGGATCTTCCTGGACCGGGGCACGAACCCGTGTCCCCTGCATCGGCAGGCGGACTCTCAACCACTGCGCCACCAGGGAAGCCCAAAAAATTAGTTATTATTATATAATTATAAGCATAGCATTTTTTGAACAAATGCATACTAATAATAGCTAACATTCCTGTGATCTTACTATGTGCTAGGCACTGTGCTTTATGAAAGTACAGTGAAAGGTCTTCACTGTATTATCTGATTTAACACATACAAAAAGTTCTACAAGTTCTGCAGATAAGGAAGTTGTGACAATGAGAGGTTAGATAAGTTGCCTAAGGTCTCACAGCTGGGAAGTAGCAAAGCCAAAGATATAAACCTAAGACTCCAGAGTTTCTAATCTTAACCTCTAAATTTCGTCTTTTCTTGCTTTAAATATCTGCAGAGTACAGCCTCAAAAATGTTAAATTCTTAGTGGTTACACAAAATCCAGAACTTAAAAACACTGTATCAGAAAAAAATATATTATTCTTGGCATATGAAAATATGCTCAACCTCACCCCATAGTAAGAGAAATGCAAGTTAAAACTTCACTGAGACTGGGCAATTTGATCACATACACCCTCCTCCATTGTTGCTGGAATGTAAAATTAGTACACAGCCTTTATGGAAGGTGATTTTGTAACTGCCGTCAAAGTTACAAATGCACATACTGTTTGACACAACCACCCATATTTTGGTAATTTATACTACAGATGTACAAATTTACACCATTATGTACAAAATGACATATTATTCGCTATAGCACTGTTTTTATACAAGATTAGAAAAATGTAAATAGAGGATTGGTCAAATAAATTATGGCTTATCTTTACAACAGGATAATACACAGCTATAAAAATGGATAAGGGAATCTACACTGTACTAATACAAAATAATCTCCATGAGATACTGTTAAATGAAAAACTAAAGGCTCGGACTTCCCTGGTGGCACAGTGGTTAAGAATCCGCCTGCCAATGCAGGGTACACGGGTTTGAGCCCTGGTCTGGAAAGATCCCACATGTCACGGAGCAACTAAGCCCATGTGCCACAACTACTGAGCCTGCGCTCTAGAGACCACGAGCCACAACTACTGAGCCCGCGTGCCACAACTACTGAAGCCCACGCACCTAGAGCCTGTGCTCTGCAACAGGAGATGCTACCACAATGAGAAGCCTGTGCACCCCAACCAAGAGTAGCCCCTGCTAGCCACAACTAGAGAAAGCCTGCGCACAGCAACGAAGACCCAACACAGCCAAAAATACATGTAAATGTAAATAAATAAATTTTTAAAATACTATTAAAAAAAAAGAAAGAAAAACTCAAGGCTCGGTACAGTATGTATAGCAACTACCTTTATATATAGGAGTGCTAGAAAGAATATACACATGTGTAAAGTACATCTGGAAGAATATACATGGTAACAAAAGAATCTGTTATCAGTGGCTGCCTCATGGGAAGAAGATATCTCTCAAATTTTGTACTTTTATGAATGAATGTATAGCCTATTCAAAACAATACCTCTTTATATATAAGATGGAAAAAAACTTTTAAGGGGAAATTTTTCTGTATGGATAGAATGGTGTCCTTAAGTGAAAACAAAGTTGCAGAAGAATGTATACAATATGCTATCTTGTGTTTAAGGAAAAAAAAATCACCTTTCTGGGGGGCAACCTCCAGGGAAATAACTGATTAGGCAAGGATCATCAATGAACACTAAAACCATTAAGTGAAAGGTACTAGAGAACAGGATATTCACGAAATGCAAAAAAGTATTCTACAGTTACTTGCTAAATCAAAAAGAATAAAGTATCTCCTTTACAAATATGTAGTATAATTCATAAAATAACAATGTTTTTAAGACCAAAAGAAAGTATGAGATGAACTGTGCTAAATTAAAAGGAAGTGGGCTTCCTGGTTGCACGGTGGTTAAGAATCCGCCTGCCAATGCAGGGGACATGGGTTCCAGCCCTGGTCTGGGAAGATCCCTCATGCTGCGGAGCAACTAAGCCCGTGCTCCACAACTACTGAGCCTGCACTCTAGAGCCTGTGAGCCACAACTACTGAGCCCGCGTGCCACAACTACTGAAGCCCACACGCCTAGAGCCCGTGCTCCGCAACAAGAGAAGCCACCACAATGAGAAGCCCGCTCACCACAACAAAGAGTAGCCCCCACTCACTACAACTAGAGAAAGCCCGTGCACAGCAATGAAGACCCAATGCAGCTAAAAATAAATATAATTAATTAATTAAAAGGAACTAAGAGAAAGCAAGTACAATGCATGAATCTCAGACTGGATCCTGGTGAAAGGAAGGAAGGAAGGGATCTTGGGTAAACTTTAACATGAACTGGACTTGGGTGTTACATGATGTTATGTAATTATTAATTTTCCTAGGTAAGCTAGTGCTACTGTGATTATATAGGAAATACGCTTATTCTTAGAAGATATATGCTGAAAGATTTAGGGATAAAGTGTCATGACATCTGCAACACACTTTCAGAAAGCAGAGAAACACACACATAAAAATACAAAGATTGGTAAAGCAAATATGGCTGTGTTTAAAACTGTTGAATCTAATGACAGCTGTCATACCCTTCCAATTTTTTGGTATGTTGAACATTTAATTAGTAAAAAGTTAAAACGGGGAAAAAACCCCAGAATCTTAAGTCATATCAACTGACGTTTTATAAAATCCACTTAGGACAATTCCATAAAGAAATAATTCTATCAAAAAGTATTAGACCTTTAATCCATTTTGAGTTTATTTTTGTGTATGGAGTTAGAGAACATTACAATTTCATTATTTTACATGTAGCTGTCCAGTTTTCCCAGCACCACTTATTGAAGAGACTGTCTTCCCTCCATTGTATATTCTTGCCTCCTTTGTCATAGATTAGTTGACCATAGCTGCGTGGGTTTATCTCTGGACTTTCTATCCTGTTCCATTGATCTATATTCCTGTTTTTGTGCCAGTACCATACTGTCTTGATGACTGTAGCTTTGTAATATAGTCTGCAGTCAGGGAGCCTGATTCTTCCAGCTCCATTTTTCTTTCTCAATATTGCTTTGGCTATTTGGCATCTTTTGTGCTGCTATACAAATTGCAAAATTTTTTGTTCTAATTCTGTGAAAAAATGCTATTGGTAATTTGATACGGAATGCATTATATCTGTAGATTACTTTGGGTAGTACAGTCATTTTGACAATATTGATTCTTCCAATCCAAGAACATGGTACATCTCTCCACCTGCTTGTGTCATCTTTGATTTCTTTCATCCATATCTTATAGTTTTCTGAGTACAGGTCTTTTGCCTCCTTAGGTAGGTTTATTCCTAGGTATTTTATTCTTTTTGATGTGATGGTAAATGGGATTGTTTCCTTAATTTCTCTTTCTGATCTTTCATTGTTAGTATATAGGAATGCAACAGATTTCTGTGTATTAATTTTGTATCCTGCAACTTTATCAAATTCATAGATGTAAGACCAGATACTATAAAACTCTTAGAGGAAAACAAAGGCAGAACACTCTCTGACATAAATCGCAGCAAGATCTTTTTTGATCCACCTCCTAATGTGAAAATAAAAACAAAAACGGGACCTAATGAAACTTCAAAGCTTTTGCACAGCAAAGGAAACCATAAACAAAACAAAAAGACAACCCACAGAATGGGAGAAAATATTTGCAAATGAAGTGACTGACAAGGGATTAATCTCCAAAACATACAAACAGCAGCTCAATATCCAAAAAAAAAAAAAGGAAACCCCATCTAAAAATGGGCAGAAGACCTAAACAGACATTTCTCCAAAGAAGACATACAGATGGCCAAGAGGCACATGAAAAGATGCTCAATGTCACTAATTATCAGAGAAATGCAAACCAAAACTATAATAAGGTATCACTTCACACCAGTCAGAATGGCCATCATCAAAAGATCTACAAACAGTAAATGCTGGAGAGGGTGTGGAGAAAAGGGAACCCTCCTACATTGTTGGTGGGAATGTAAATTGGTACAGCCACTATGGAGAACATAATGGAGGTTCCTTAAAAAACTAAAAATAGAGCTACCATATGATCCAGCAAAACCAATCCTGGGCATATATCTGGAGAAAACCATAATTCAAAAAGATACATGTACCCCCAGTGTTCATTGCAGCATACAAGCACTATTTACAATAGCCAGGATATGGAAGCAACCTAAATGTCCATCAATGGAGGAATGGACAAAGAAGATGTGATACATATATGCAATGGAATATTACTCAGCCATAAAAAAAAGAATGAAATAATGCCATGTGCACCGACACAGATGGACCTAGAGATTGTCATACTGAGCAAAGTAAGTCAGACAGAGAAAGACGAATATCATATGATATCGCTTATATGTGGAATCTAAAAAAATGGTGCAAAAGAACCTACTTACAAAACAGAAAGAGTCACCGATGCAGAAAACAAACTTATGGTTACCAAGGGGCATGGGGGGGAGGGAAAAATTGGGAGATTGGGATTGACATATGCACACTACTATATACAAAACATAACTAATAAGAACCTACTATATAGCACAGGGAACTCTACTCAGTACTCTGTAATGACCTATATGGGAAGAGAATCTAAAAAAGAGTGGATATATGTATATGTATAACTGAGTCACATTGCTGTACAGCAGAAACACAACATTAAAAATCAACTATACTCCAATAAAAATTAATTTAAAAAAATAAAAATGGTTAAAGAAAAAAGTATTAGACCAACAAATAAATGCAGGAAGTATGACAATAGAGTTAGAAAAATCATCATTTGGAACTACTACAGTAATTGTTGATTCAAGCAAGAATCATCAACGAATGCCAAAACCAATGCATGAAAGCTTGTTGGGGAACAGGATATTTACAGTCTCAAATATTTCCCCACAGACTATGTACATACAGTTACAAAGAGAATCTGGTGGGTCAAACTTAACATTACTGACATCGGGCACCTCTTGATGCACATGAACAGAGAGGAACACACAACACATATAGTACTCCTGCCAAAAATGTTATTACTGAATCTAACAGTTTAAAAAACAGATAAACCCAGGCTAAGAAGATTCAACAAAAATACTAGCTTGCATTCTTAAAAATATCAATGTCATGAAAGACAAAGAAAAGCTGAGAAACTGTTCCAGATTAAAGGATTCTAAAGAAACATGATATCTAAATGCCACCTGTGCTCCTTCACTGGGTCCTAGCTTACGGGAGAAACTGCTACAGATAACATTATTGGGGAAACTGAAAAAAAAATGTGTCTATGTATCACATATTAAATAGTAGCATTGTATCAATGTTAAATCTCCTGAATTTGATAATTACTTTGGTAATAGTTTTTAAGTCTTTGTTCATATACATCCTGAAGTATTTGAGAAGAGTCAGAATTTAATTATTAACAATTAGCAAATAATAACAACAGTAATAATAACAATTATATATACACAAAGAAAACAAAATATGCAAAAATGTTTATTGGTAAACACAGGTGAGGAGTATAGGGTGTTCAATCTACTACTCTTGGGACTCTTCTATAAACTTGGGACTTTTTCCCCAAATAAAGTTTTTAAAAATTAGAGAAATTACTAAAGATATTAATTTTAAGTATAAAAATACAAGGAAAAGCAAAGGAATATAAAAGTCTCCTATAGATTTAAGAACAAATTAAAGATGAGAACAAGAATATTAGTTGGTAAGGTAAAAATAAGCATAAAGAGCAAAAGACAGCTTTGTTAATTTCAGTGATAAGATGTTCAGGCAGGAAAAAATACTCGGCAAAATCATTAATTTTACTTAAACTGCTACTTCAAAAGATAATTGTTTTCTTTGTTCAACTAAGAAGCTGGGCCTTTATTATAAGACACTCAGGTATTAATAAAAAGTAAAATTGAGTTTTAATTAAGCATGTTTCAATTTTGTTCAATTTTACATTGTATACTGGAAAGCTATTATGTGTCTTCTAATGTATCAGGCACTAGACTAGGTACTGAAGTTAGAGAGTTTTTATTCTGAAAGAGTTTTTTCTAGGACAGAAGGAATAAATAGCCAATTATGATATGTGATGACTGAGGTTCCCTAAGAAAGGCACCTAATCCAGACCTGGAAGGACAGGGAAAGTAGGTAAGCAAGGTTCTATAGGATCGGGGGAGGCTGCTATAAGCATCAGAGTGTAAGCTGTCCAGGCAAATGGTGGGAAAGCGTTCCAAACAAAAGAAAAAACAGGAACACCAGTCAAGTGGTAGCCAGAGCTAGGTCACAGCAACTTGTCCACAGCTGTGGTCACAGCCACAGCTAGGTCACAGTAACTCAAAAGACTTACTGAACTGCTTCTACAGATCAAGGGGCTCCCAACGGCTTATAAGAATGTATATTCTTACCGGTAAGACAAAATATCTCAACACACTGAACCTAAAACTACAAAGCAAAGAAAGAGGGTTGCAGAAATGTTCAAGAAAATGCACCCATACTAATTTAAACACGACCTGTGGATTAAGCAGAAAGCAAGTAGAGACTGTATTCATTTCCTTTTTTAAAAAAATTTTATATTGGAGCATAGCTAATTAACAATGTTGTGTTAGCTTTTAATTTTATATTGGAGCGTAGCTGATTAACAATATTGTGTACAGCAAAGTGATTCAGTTATACATATACATGTATCTAGTCTTTTTCAAACTCTACTGTATAGCACAGGGAATGCTGCTCAATATTCTGTAATAACCAAAGTGGGAAAAGAATTTGTATTCATTTTCTATACAACATGCCCTAATCTCAGCAAAGTTACAGATTTTGAATAAATGCAGAGTTCTACAGAACTCTTCGGTTTAAAAAGTCACAATTTCAGAAAAGATTCATTACTTTTAATGAGTACAGACTCTGCATTTTCATTTCCGTAGTTGCAACTGGAGTATAACCCTCAAGGTAATTTCGAAACCCAAGCATCTACCCTAACAATGGGGCTCAGTTTCAAGAGTATCAGAACAGAAAACAAACTAAGTCCACCAGGAACATCTGGAATTCTAGAAACCAGTATGTAAATCCAAAAAACACTGCAAAGTGTATTTACTTGGTCTTGTAAAAGGATATTCTCTCACAAAGTGCTGAGATCAAGCAACCATCAGTGATGTAAATTTGAAGTCTAAATCAAGATGTACCTTAGCTGATTTTCAACAATCAGTATAAAGAATCTTTTAACTCTTTAAATGATTTTCTTTCTTCACTAGCCATAAAACTTTAACTGCTCTGCTCATTCAGTCCTTTGCAAATATTCCTTGAGTGCTTATTCCATCAGGTACAGTACTAAGTCCTGAGGATGAAAATACAGAAATGAACAAGCCAGACACAGTTTCTGCCTTCATGGGAGCACCATCTAATGAATATGAGAAACATTAAATAAATGACTAGACAAATATTTAATATTTAACTGAGACGTATCATCAACTGGCTCTATGATTTTGGACTTCAGTTTCCTCATCTGTAAGACTAGGAGGTACATCAAATGATCTCTTAAGACTTTTTTAATTAAAATTTTTATAAATTTAAAAGTACAAAACTTTGCTTCCAGAGTCCCTTTGTCAGATATTTACATTTACAGACTCTACCAGCAATAGCATATAATCCCCATCTTGCAACACACGAAGATTTTTGAGCACAAAAATATAAGGTTGGATGGAAACTAAAGTAATCTTTACTGTAACAGATTTTTAAGTCCAAATTCCGTATATTAAATATCTTGTGATGTTCTGAACTGACTATAAAGAGTAAGTGGGAGGGGAATTCCCTGCCAGTCCAGTGGTTAGGACTCTGCACTTTCACTCTCAGGGCCCAGGTTCGATCCCCAGTGGGGGAACTAAGCCACAGGCAAAAAAAAAAAAAAAGTAAGTGGGAGAAAAGTATGTGCATATATTATCTGTATGTATCGGAATTACTTTGGGTACTGTTTAAAATGCACACTCCCAAGCCTCAACCAAAACCTACTAGAGAATATCTGAAGGTCAAGCCTGGGGATCTGGACTCTTGATAAGCTTCTCAGATAATGCTAATACACACTAATATTTTACAAATTTGAGCACAGAGTAGAACAAATAATATTATGAGAAATGGTTTCAGAGTGAAACACTTCAAGATAAGAACTGTAATAACCCTACCTGTGTGGCCTTGTCCCGCATGCAAGGAGCAGCTTGCCCATGACCATCACGAGGCCAGTGCCCTGCAAGGTACGGCGCAGCAAGTGTATCCAGGGAAGAGGTACGGCGGATGATGCTAGAGGGGCTGGAGGAAGGCGGTCTTGCTTTGTCACCTAGAATTAAGACAAATACATTTATTTTAAAAATAGATTAGGGGCTTCCCTGGTGGCACAGTGGTTGAGAGTCCGCCTGCCGATGCAGGGGACACAGGTTCGTGCCCCGGTCCAGGAAGATCCCACATGCCGCGGAGCAGCTGGGCCCGTGAGCCATGGCCTCTGAGCCTGCGCGGCCGGAGACTGTGCTCCACAACGGGAGAGGCCACAACAGTGAGAGGCCCACGTACGAAAAAAAAAAAAATAGATTAGGAAGGAAACAAAGTAGAAACTAAGTAGAGGTTCTCTAACTTAAATACAAAAAGTGAGTAATAAAAAGAATAAGCTCTTGATTCACACAAACTTTGATGAATCTCCAGAGAATTATACTGAGTAAAAATAGTCAATCTCAAATGGTTACCTGCTGTATGACTTCATTTGTACAACATTTTTGAAATGAGGAACTTTTAGAAATGGAAGAAAGATCAGTGGTTGCCAGGGGTCCACTAATAGATAGGGGAGGGAAGGTGAAGTGGCAGGAGAGAAGTAGGTGTTATAAAAGGGCAACATGCAGGACCCTGGTGGTAGGGAACTATTCAATATCTTGACTGTGGTGGTGAATATACAAACACACAAAGGAGATTAAGCAGTATAGAATTCAACACACACACACACAGAAATAAGTACAACTGAAGAAATCTGAATAAGAGCAGTGGATTGTACAATGTCAAAATACTATAGAGTTCTACAAAATGTTATCACTGGAGAAAAAAGGGCAAAGTGTACAAAAGATCTCCACATTATTTCTTACAACTACAATCATCTCTACAAAAAAAAAAAGAAAATAATACAAATGTATATCTATCCATTTAAAAAATGTTCATCTTGGTTTTAAGATTAAGTAGGTATAATATGTAAAATACTCATTTATCATTATACCACCTATACTCAAAAGGATATAAGGCAGCTAAGATAAAGTTATAGGTGAAATTCCATTTTAATTAGCTCTGTAAGGTACATATCTTAATTTTTGTTATAATAAATAGACTGTAAGAAACCATACTAACCAGCCTATAGGAGCTATACTTAAAGCCACATATGCAAATATATTTTCCATTTCAAGTTACAGGATATGTATTTAGATATAAGCCAAAAATAAAAACTAAAAACAAAACAAACAAAAAAGAACTAGAGGTAATGGGAAGTTAGAGGTGATGTATAAAAAAAGAGTCTCATATCTCCATTTTTTTTTTTTGGAAGGGAGAAGGCAATAGGCTTAGGTAATTTATGCTTTAAAATTTTTAAAATTAAGGGACTTCCCTGGCGTTCCAGTGGTTAAGACTCCGTGCTTCCACTGCAGGGGGCATGGGTTCAATCCCTGGTTGGGGAACTAAGATCCCACATGCTGTGCGGCACAGCCAAAATAATAATAATATAATAATAAATTAAAATAAAAAATTAAGAGGTTTAAAAATATCAAATATATGCATGAGTAGGATTATATATTAATATTATCACTCTAGCTTTATATGGTAACAAATACCTTGTTCTTCTTAAGGCCATATATGAAAACACTTTATGACACCTCTCTTCTACTTACTTCTTAATAAGGGTCTTATATAGTTACAAGTATAAAAGTTCAGTTGCTGGTTATGTGACCCAAATAACAAAAGATTCAATTCCACCAAGATAATACTTTTAGCAGCTGTGTCGCTGATAATCATAAAAGTTGTTTCACAAGATGTTCCTCAGATACATAATTTGCTTTCAAAATGGCACAACTATTTTACTACAACAATGCCTAATTGTTTCACTCTGCATACAGTCTTCCTCTTATAGTTAAACACAAAATAAATACAGTACATACCCATAAGTTCAAGGAAGCATGTACCCACATTATTAACTGTGACAAGTGAAAAGCAATAAATATACATGTTCACTATTTTTCCTCTAACTAAAAAATTAATCTCTACTGGGACAGTCACAAGAAGATTGTTCTTGGGCACACACACACACACACACACAAAAGGCACACACACTATGTAAACTGGTGTATATTCATTAAAATCAAATTGTTAAAAGCTGTCTGACACTTTTCTTCCCTGACTGTAACATTGCTTCAGCCACCTACCAGTGCACTGATCAAATAGATCTTACTAACAGGTCTGATTCCATTTTCAAGATTTTAAATTATCCAAGTGCCGACTTTTCAACCAGGCCTCCTAAGACCATTAGATTTTCTATAACAAAATGGAGAACAGAAAAGTTATACATGGTCACATGTAAAAATACTAAACATTTTCTCTTTTGAACTCCCTTCATTTAGACATTTTTAAGGGTGTGTGAGCCAGCGCTAAGCCCTAGAAATTAAAAATACTAAGTTACAGCCTGCCATAAAGAACACAGAGTGTACATCTGGCTTGTCATCATTCCATTTCAATCCAAGTTCCCAAAATTGACAAGATTTGGTGCCTAATTATGAGGGAGTTTAAGGGGAGGGAGGGAGCCTCAAAGAGTCAAAGATGACTCAAAGAATCCCAACCTACATGAACAAAGGCTGTATTTACAAGGAAGTCCAAAGGAAGAAACTCTTTGACAGCTAACAAGATCCTTCATGATCTGACTTCTTCAGCCTTCCTTTCTTGCCTACACTGCCTCAAATCCCGATCACGCTGAACGACTTGCAGTTCCCAACATGTGCCAGACCCTGCATGCCTACAGGCTTTTGCCTCTGCCTACATTATCCTCATATCCCTTTCCTGGGTTTGGCTAATTCATGTTTAATCTTTCAAACTGCAGTCTGGATGTCTGAACTGAAATTGAAAATTCAGTACAAATGTTTCCTCTGGAAAATCTTACTTGAACAGCCACTCAAACCCCCAAGAAACACATCAACACCTGGGTCAAAAGCCCTCCTGTGTGCTGCCATAGCATGGTTCACTGAAATGGTCTCTTGACTGTCCCAGTGCTCTAGGAGACAGTGAGATTTTGAAGGGCAGGAATTTTACTTCCACCCCCAATCGAATGATTAAAATAATACCTGACATATATGAAGAGAATGACTTCTAATGTTTCTATCAGCAAGGGCAGGTGCATGCAATAAATTCAGATACTCTTTTGTTAACCCAAAGTAAATCAACAAAAACTAATACTGCATGGTATCACTTATATGTAGAATCTTTTTTCAAAAATCAAACTCATAGAAACAGAGAGTAGGAAAAGTGATTGCCAGGGGTATGGGAAAAACAGGGAAAGGCTGATGAAAGGGTATAAAGTTTCAGCTATAAGATGAATAAATAAGGTCTGAGGTGTAAATGTATTAACATGGTGACTACAGTTGATAACACTATATTGTGTAAGTGAAATCTGCTAAGAGAGCAGAACTTAAATGTTCTCTCACACAAACAAAGATAGATATGTGCGGTGATGGATGTGTTAATGAACTAGATGGGAGAAATCTTTTCACAGTGCTTATATATATTAAATCCTTATGAGGTACGCTTTATATATCTTACAATTTTATTTATCAATTATACCTAAACAAAGCTGAGAAAAAGTAAATCAAAACAACAGAAGTTGGGCTTCCCTGGTGGCGCAGTGGTTGAGAGTCCGCCTGC